AGTAATAAATGGTGCTATTGACACGCCTTCATTACTTGGTGAAATAAGCTTTAATGTCCCTAACCGCTTCTCTAGGCACTTTATCTTGGTTAAGATTAATCAGTGTAAATTTAATTATGAGCTGTTTAATCCGCTCAGAGTTGTTTGCAAGAACCTAAATGACGTCTATCACATATTCTCATTAACGGACTCTTTAAAGTCCATTAAAGCAAGATTGTTTAATACGCGCGATTTACCTATGTCGTACTTAAACTGACTTAACCTTACAAAGTCATTATGAGTCGAAAATTAATTGGTGTTAACTATTATCGGCTGCCAGACTTGTGCATGTTTGCGATGGCTTAGGGGTTCATTTGCAATTTGGTCTTGTACCGGTTGTAAGTGTGGCTCTATGCTGATAGTGTACACGCTTTTTTTTCTTTTTCTTTTTTTCCTTCTTATTTCTTTTATTATACTTATACTAAATTTTATTATTAATTAATATAAGTTTTGCATTATGAGCCAATTGAACTCGACTGTTATTCGTTTAGTTGAGTTTCTAGTATAAGTAGAATTAAAATAAATAAATAAATAAATTACCGTGAATAAGAACGAAATGGCGGCGCCAAGTGGGAACATTGACATCTTTGAATCAATGGTTGGTGATATTTTTGAGAGACGCAATAACATAATTAGTAGTGGGGAACTTTAATAATGATTTATATGATCCCGTAAAATTGTTAAGACTCCGATCTTTTTGTAATCGATTATATATTCTCTACGACATAATATATTGCCAACACATTTTCAGGTGTGTAATAATATAAAATCCCTTATTTTCTTATATTTGATCAACTTACCCTATGTACTATGAATCAATTTCAATGGCCATTTTTATCGTCCCACCATGCACTTATATGTGCTTCACCGAAAATCCAAGACCCATAAGCATCTTACTTATTTTGCCGAAGGTATTTGAACATGTTATAATATCTCAAATCTGATGATTGACAAACTGGGTATGGTCGAGGCTGCTGTGTCTCATCTACGTTGCTAGGAATTACTGAATCCGAAGCAGAGACTTGAATGAAAGTGGAATAAGTATTCAAGTGTCATTCATTGGGCTTATCCAAGGCTTTTGATCGAGTTGATCATGGAAAGATGTTGTAAAAACTTAATAGTGAATTTATTTTTTTAAGTACATTGTGCTCGCATATAAAGCCCTATATTTCTAGTAGGAGACAATTTGTGTCTTTTAAACATCGGCGCTCACATATACGGCATGTGAGATCTGGAGTTGGTCACGGTTCTGTTCTTGGTCCGCTGTTATGTTCAGTATATTTGAATAACTTCTTCAGCGTGGTTGAGTCCACGGTGTACGCTTTCGCAGATGATATTCAGTCTTTGTTTCATGGCACTCAGTCAAGAGATGCATTACAACTGTTTATTCATGAGACTTTAGACCAGCTTGAACGTTGGATGAAATCAAATTCTATGCTGTTGAATATCTCGAAATCAAAAATTATGAGGTTTGGAACTATGCAACTCAGAGATATGAGATTTCAATTGAGAGGAAATGAATTAGAATTTGTGGACAAATTAAAAATGTTGAATGTTATTATTGACAGGAAATTTGACTGTTCACACCACATTGGCGATATCTGTTTAAGAGTTTGTTTTACTTTTCGACGACTGCACTACCTCAATATGTATTCGCTGTATCATGTGGCTTATGCGCTGATGATGTCACCTATATCTTGCATGATAGCTGGTAATGTTCATAGAATTAAGCTGTTGGTGAGTAAGATTGCTAGGTTTGTGCTTGGCGTAAGTGATCATAATTCTGCCTCTGGTCAATGGAAATCGACATTACAGTAACATATTGAGGCACGTTAGTAACTTCTTAAAATGTTCTTTTGCCAATTATTCGGCTATGAGATATCTTGTACGCTTTTATGAAATAATTGAGAGTGATACAATGCAGGTTTTGACTCAAAGCTTTAACTTTCTGCGTCCTTCAAGGAGTGCACAAATATTTATTTCTTTGATAAGCAGTTCAGTCTTTTTTTCGGAAATCGTTTCTGATCACGTTTGGACAATCGTTGACCCATGTACCAAAAAAAAGCTCATTGAACATAGACGGTAGAATTTTGATCTAATTTTACTGTACCTATTATTAGCTTTGGACCTTGGGGCGCGTTTCTAGTTGTTAAGCCTTCTAGGTACGAAATGTTATGGATTGAAGTTGTTAAGAAAACAATAGTGTTATAAGTGTTATTATATAGATTCAGACTTACTACATATAAAACCAACCATGAATATGTTTAATTGTAATATGTATTTTGTCCACATTTCATATTTTATATTAGACAGTGGTAATAATTAAAAAAATGTGTGTAAATTGAAAGTAATGAGCAAAAAGCACGGAAAACAGATTTTCTCAATGTTTGTCATAAAGGAGTGTGAGCATTATGGGCGTGAACTTTGAAAAGTTTAGGTTATTTTCAGCTTCTTTTAAAAACTTGTAGGCGATATCTTTATATATATTCTATTGTATAAATTATAAATTTTAGTGTAGAAATCAGAATTTATTTGACTTAACTTCCCCACTGGTCTTTATGGAAATGATTACTTCAGACAAACTTCAACCAGAATACCGAATGTCCTACCACCTTTCAAGAAAGCTAATTATTATATTCCAAGATAAATTAAACTCAAACTCGTTTCGTTTCTAATCATTGAAATCTATTGCGGTTTATATTGACGCATAAAACCTCGAAAATATTTTGTTAATAAGCAATAAACGCATCAGCTGACAGGACCTATTTTTATATTTACATTTTTGATAGCATTTTAAAATATTTCAATAAGCTTTTACATTAATATCAATATGAAGCGTAAGAGTACACTTCTTCATAAATAGGGCTTAGTTGCATGTGAATTATGCCCCTTAAGAATATGCGCCTAGTTTCAGCTTTCTATAACAATTTTCGGGCCTGTGAACGTTCTAATAAACTAACAAACAATCTGGTTGATGGAGAGATTACTTTACATAAAAGATATTGAAATTACCGAAGTACGCATTAAATTCGTTATGATTGTGGAGTTATGTGTGTATCAAAAGAAAACTATGTTTGTAAAAAATATGTAAATAAAATGTAGTACTTACCGCTTTAATAAACATTAGTCGCCAAATACTGCATGTATCCGATCTTAACTATCTATCTTATTTTTATATAAGAAACTAACGACAAATCTCTACTATACTACGATAACACACAGTCGATAACACAAAACGCAATCAAATTGTAATAAAAAAAAAAAAACAAAAAACAAAAGAAAAAACAAGACCCTATTTGTTAATATCTAAAAACACAATATTTCATTACATTTTTTCGCTCTTTTTCGTATACATGTTTACATTTTTAATACGTTTTGGAAAAAAGATTAATATGACGACGAATAAACAATATGCACGAACACATTGAGGATCAGTGGTTTTAAGAGGGAGAGTTTCTTCTCGTATACAATAATAAGCGCCCCCATTAAAAGACACTAGTTAGAACAGACGTGTTATACCTTTGATTAAATATTTAACTTTTTTTCAAAGATAATCAATAGCAACAGAGTTTTCGCTTTTACTAGTTACAGAAAGACTAAAAGTTCTTTAAACATGATAAAAAATATAATATATAAATAATTTATTTATAAAATTTATTTCGAAAATAGTCAATTTTATGCATCAAATGCAATATTTTACCAAATTGATTAATAAAAGTGAATTCGTTTTTCCAAGGTCAGCACTTGCTGTAAAGGATAGAATAATTTGAGAACCGTAAGATATAATCTTACTCCCAAGCATCTTTTCGATCGATTATTTACATATAACTATACTGACATCCAAGAAATAAATAACAGTCTTCCAAACCAGGCCCGGGTAAATTTTTTAAATAAACTAAACGATAATGATTTACAAGCCTACAATTCAGCTGAAATTAAGTCGGAATGCGTCTATAAAAAAATAGGAATCGTAATCATTAGAGTGATTAATTTATCTAGTGACGATCTGGACGATTTGAGGAAGCAATATATAAAAAACGCAACCGAGGATGACCACATTGTCCAATATCTTGCCAAAACGTTGGAAATATTTGGGACATCAAATAAAGTTAGCCAACGATAGCCAAGAAAGTTACTAAAGGAATTTTATTATGACATTTAGATTTGACAGGGTCTATTATAAGAAACATTTCAGATGTTAGGAACTGTATATTTTATTACGCTTTGGTTATAACCAATCATCGAGGCAAAAATTACCCCGTAGCCGAAAGAATAAACGGCTAATGAAATTCCGGCAATTGTGTGCGAAAAAAGGAAGTTGGCCTCCTTTCACAACAATCGTTACGTGCTTCCTCTACCATTTTTCAAAATCTCCGATTTAAAAGAACTACATACTAATTATTTGCTTTATTCATACTCATGTAGATACTTAAGGTACCATACTTTCTTTAAATAAAATAAGTTGATAGCTTTTACCGTCCTTTAAGACATATCGAAAATATGCCGATGGTGAAACACCCTAAAATTTTTTGTTTACACTTTGTGTATTGCAACCTTTCGCCAATAATATACATGCACTATATGGTAAATAGTAACAATAAAATTTTTTTTAATTTCTTATAACATTTCTGTATAATTTCTTGTTTTATTTGTGCTTTTATTTCTATTTTTGTTCGGTTTTTCTAATGATTTTGTAGACTTCAATTATCAAATACCTTAGCGGAGGCGCGATAAGTGTGAAAATAGTCTGCCTTTTGGCAAACACAAAAATGAGGGTTATGTACAGTTATGGGCTAACTTCACGCCAGTGTAACTTTATAGTTAACACATATAATTTGTTTTCATATTTTTTTCGTTTATATCTGCTTACATTGAAGATGTGTAACTTTTATGTTGGTACAAATGATTTAATAAATTTCAATGAAAATAATTATACGAATATGAAGAAAATTTTCAAAATTAAATAAAAGTTTCAAATTTTTTCATATACATTTTATTCTTTATGTTGCAATTCTCCACATTCCACAAGACCCGTTATTTGTGTATATTACAAGGCTGATTCTGCAGAGTATATTCCAGGCTTGTACTTTAACAAAATTTTAAATTAAATGTAATATGGTTCCTATTTAGTTTTAGTATATGATTTATTTTATTATTTTTAGATTTATATTTGTTTAGGTGTATATTTCAATATATTTTCTATTTTTATTCCGTTTTCCCTAATCATTCATGTTTCATATTTGTTCAATTATACGTTTAGTTTAATATATTTAATAGTTCAATTTCAAACCATCTAATATTCGTTGATTTACTTGTGAATTTTGCAAATTTTCAGTTTCTATTATTTCGCAATGTTACTAACCATAAACAATAAGTTCGTTTGTTTATAAAACAATACGAGTTGATACATTTGAAATGTGTCATTGCTTATATCGTTTTTTCAAGCTTGTTAAATTTCATTATTTTGCTTATGTTGCATTTTGGTGTCACAATTCAATTTACACATACATGCACATTTGACATACATAGTAATTTTCTCTGGATAGTGCAAGTATGTAATATACAGTTTTCTGTATAATTCTGCTTTGATTTAAATTAATTTTGGTCTGTATTATTCAATAAAACTTATATTCTTCGTCATTCTGGAAAATTGTTGATACATACATTTTACACAATATAAGCAAGGATTGGAAATAATTAACGCACCTCCCCAGGCTTTAAATGTATGAAAGGAATAAAAGCTGCATACAGTAATCTGATTAGTTGTATGGGAAAATCGAAATTTAACATTTTAAAAACAAGTCTGTGATGTAATATACAATCAAAGACAATTTTAACATTAAGTAAGATCTTCGCGCTTCATTCTTGATACAATTTTTTTAAACTGGTGTGTTCTTTACATAAAAACCAAATCGTTGGAGACGAGATATGGCGTCACTTTCAATAAAATCTATTGGTTTTCGATGATAGATGTGCTTCGAATGATAAGTAATTCTAATTACAAGCTATAATAAACTAAAAAGATAGTAACAAAGTTTTATACAAATCATTCTTACCTCTTTTCAAATATCATATCCTTCTTTGGAGATATATAATTGATATGTCCAAGAGTGTATGTTTTCCATTTTTCAAAGATTTGATAATACATGGAATTTTTTACTATTTTTTTTATATTAATGTTATTAATATATTTAGATGACGGTTTAAGACAATTACTAATAAGAGATATCGTAAGACGATCCAACCCTTTGTTTGCCATTGCATGATTTGGAGCAAAAATTTGGGCCAAAGTTTCACATTTATTTATTTTACAATCGCTTTACATTGCGCTCTACAGCACGGCAACCTATCCTGGATCTCTGGAAAGAAATTTTTTCGTTGAGACTTCACGATTCACTGGGACCTGACAGCCCAATATCTTATCTGTTGATTTCTAATTTCTCTACTGCACAAACAAATGCCTTTAGGAAATATTTATGTTAATTCAAACGACAAATATGAACCCAAAAATAATTTGAAAACAAAAATAGAATAGCTGAGGTTCATCAAGACGACTGACTTAGTTAAGCTTAGGTGATGTTTTCAGCCAATGATTTAGGAAGCATTGCTTTAATGTTTTTTAATTATTGCAACCATGTAGTATTCAAGAAAGGTACAATTGCCTGTTCCTTCATAAGGGCTGAATATACTGTAACACTGTTTACATTCTTACTTTTTTAACAAAATTAACTAAACTC